GGCCCCGCCCCCGGGACCCCGGCCATGGAGGGTGAGGGCGCCCTCCGACCCCCGGGGATGGCTGCGCGGGGACACTGAGGCTGTGGCGGGAGCCCTCGCACGCCTTCGGCCCTTTCCTGCGCCGGCGGGTGCTGCGCAGGGAGCGGCCAGGCCGGAGGGTGGCGCGGGGCGGGGCAGGCGGCGGGGGGTCTGACTCAGTTACCCCTTGGGTGGAAGTGGGCCTTGACTCAGTTTCTTCCCTGGATCGGGGTGCGGGCTGAGCCTTGACTCAGTTTCCCTCCATAATTCGTGGGGGGCATCTCTGACTTCGTTTCCCTGTTAGGGGAAAGTGTGTGTGACTCAGTTTCCCCTCGGGATGGGAGATGAGGGAGTCCCGCCTTCAGTTTTCCTTATGGAAGTAGAAAGGGGTCTGACTCAATTTCTCTCGGTAAAGGAAGGAGGGGACATCAGACCCAGTTCTCCCGCAGGAAACAGGTGTCTGGCTCCTTTACTGCACCTCTTAGCTTCCCGGCAGCCTCCAGGGGGCACACCCTGACTGAGCTGCCCTCGGCGGAGCCTGGCGCCATCCTCCGGGTGGGGAAATGGCCCAGTGAGGATGGACACTGGGCTTGCGCTGATCCTTGTCTCCCTCTCCTTCCAGACCTGTTCCCTCTCATCTTCCCTTCGGGTAAGTGGGCTGTCCTCCCTGCGTGGCTGGGGCGGATCCCCCCACGGCCGGGGCAGTGGGGCAGCTGCTGATGGGGGCTTGCGTGTCCCCCGCAGAGCCGCCCCAGGCCTCCGGCCCCTATGTGGAAATCATCGAGCAGCCCAAGCAGCGGGGTATGCGCTTCCGTTACAAGTGCGAGGGCCGTTCAGCAGGCAGCATCCCAGGCGAGAGGAGCACAGATACCACCAAGACCCACCCCACCATTAAGGTCAGCACCGGGGCACCAGCTCCCAGGGGTGGCTGGGGGTCCAGGGTGGCGGAGGGGGCTCCTCTCCAGGCCTCTGTGCCCTCTGTGTCGGGGAGTCGGGTTTGGCATTCTTGGACCTCTAGGGTATCTCTGTACTTTGGACAGATCAATGGCTACACAGGGCCAGGGACAGTTCGCATCTCCCTAGTCACCAAGGACCCCCCTCACCGGCCTCACCCCCACGAGCTTGTGGGGAAGGACTGCCGAGATGGCTTCTATGAGGCTGAGCTCAGCCCGGACCGCTGCATCCACAGGTGAGCTCCTCATGGGCCCAGGGCAGGTGTCAGGGACAGGGTGGGCTGGCAGGACAGTGGGGGAGATGATCTGGTAGCTGTACAGGGGGTCATTGCTCACTCCTTACTGTCACTCCCAGCTCTGCAAGCAGACTTCGTCTTGAGATGACCTGTGGGCTCACTGTCTCACGATGTGAGCTCCTTGAGACAGGGTTGAGCCCTAATCACCTTTCAATCCCAGCCCTGTGGCTAGAAGGGAGAGTCCCTCTGTGTTAACATCTCGTGCTGAGGAAAAAAGCCCAAGAGCCAACAGTCTTCTCTGGAGATGACTTACTGGTTGACAGAGATGGGTCATAAGTAAACATACAAATAACTAAATAAGACATGGTGGAGAGTAATCATTTTGATGATGAAAGTAAAGTAGGATAGGAGGTTGGAAGGAGCCCTGGTAGTACAGTGGTTAAGCGTTGAGCTGCTAACTGAAAGGTTGGCGGTTTGAACCCACCAGCTGCTCTGAACAAGAAAAAAACCTGGTGATCTGCTCCGGTAAGGATTTACAGCCTAGAAAACCCTGTGGGGCAGTTCTGTTCTGCCCTAGAGGGTTGCCTTGTCTCAGAATTGACTTGATGGCACACGGCAACGTAACACTAGCTCAGAAGAATAACCCAGGGCAGGGGTCACCGCTTTGCGACTCAGCTAAGACGTCATTGGTGAGAACTGAAGAATCAGAGAAATCCCGTTCCAAGCAGAAAGGACAAACGCCTGGAAGCAGGAATGAGTTTAGCGTCTGAGGAGCAGAAAGGAAGCCCACGTGGCTGGAGGAGGTTGGCGAGGGCTGGGTCACCCATGCCTGTCAGCTGAGGTCAGAATTGGCATTTCATTGTAGTGCAGTGGGAAACCATGGGGGCGTTAAGCCTGGAGTGATGATCTTGGAGGGGAAGGGCACGCTGGGCAGGACACAGGGGCCCAGACGCTGCTGGAGACAGCAGTACTGATACTCGGGGCCTCAGCTTCCAGAACCTGGGGATCCAGTGTGTGAAGAAGCGGGACCTGGAACAGGCCATCAGTCAGCGTATCCAGACCAACAACAATCCCTTCCAAGGTGAGGGGTCTGGGGCGAAGGCCTGGGCCTTCCTGGGTACCCCTGCCTCCGTCACCACCTTTCCTGAATGCCTCTCATTGGCTGAGAGTCACAGTACAGACAGGCTCTTGCCGCCCATTCAGGACATAGTCCCACTTAACACTGGGGAAGTGGAGACCCCGAGGGGACATGACATCCAGGGTCACGGGTGGGGTCACTGATGGGTCTAGAACCTTCTCTTCCTCTAGGATGCCTCCTCCTGTGTCCCACCCCACCCCCCAGTCCTCTCAGCCCAGAGCACCCTGCCTGTGCCCCCAGTCCCTGCCCTCCTGACCGCTGTCCATCTGGTTTCCCTGCAGTCCCCATAGAGGACCAGCGTGGGGACTATGACCTGAATGCGGTGCGGCTCTGCTTCCAGGTGACAGTGCGCGACTCATCAGGCAGGCCCCTCCGCCTGCCACCTGTCCTCTCTCATCCCATCTTTGACAACCGTGAGTGGCCAGGGAGCCTGAGTGACCAGGGAGCCTCAGGAAAAGGAGATGGGTTAGCTCGGGGAGGGGAACGGAAGGACCGGTGGGCGTGGCCGGGAGAGGAGCTCTGGCTTCATTCTGTCATTGAGCGGGTTCGTCTCCTCTGTGCCCAGCTCTGTGCTGGTGGGGAGACCAGGCAAAGGGGACAGAGAGCTACCAGGCAGCCAGTGGGGGACACGCATTTCAGTGTGAGGGGAGGAGAGGCTTGGGGGAGAAGGCTAGGCTCTGCCACTGCCTCTGTGTGTGAGAGGGGCTTGGGGGCCCCTTTGTGAAAACAGGCTAGGACTGTGACACCAGGAACTGGACTTCTGGAAGCAGGATGATGTGAGAGTCCTTTCAATGATGGATCAAGCTGACAGTGGTCAGCAGCATTTTAAATCAAGTGCCCAGGAAGATGGAGGGAAATCACAGGGCCCTGGAGCCCCAAAGACAATCTATTTTGGGGTTCATTTAAAAATAACAACAATTGCCTAACATGTTGAGTTCTTCTCACATGCCTGGCACTACTCCTGAACGTGCCAGGTGGAGAAGGAGGTGGGGTCAGATTGGTTCCCACTGGACTGTTGGACTCTGTGAGGGCAGACGTTGAGCGCGTTGTTGCATCTCAGGGTCCAGAGTGGTGCTGGGCACGTGGTGGGTGCTGGTGGAGAAGCCGTCGCTGGCTGGTTGGGGTCAGGAGCTGGCGGGGAGGGTGCCACATGACTGTGGAGACACGTTTAGCAAGCAGTGCACAACTCCTGCCTCTGGGCTAGGCCGGGAACTAGCGTCTCCTGCAGGAAGGTGGCTCAGGGCTCCCCTTCCTCACTCCCTCACCCACAGGCGCCCCGAACACCGCTGAGCTCAAGATCTGCCGAGTGAACCGGAACTCGGGGAGCTGCCTCGGCGGGGATGAGATCTTCCTGCTGTGTGACAAGGTGCAGAAAGGTACACACCAGGGCGGGGCAACATGGAGCAGGGATGGTGAGCGTCACTGAGCTGGGGGCCTCCTGACACCTTGGGAGTTTCAGAGGCAACAAGGTGATTATCTCAGGAGCCAGCTTTGGCATCGGGACTGTTGGGGCTTCAAGCACGCTGACTCTGCCACTTTGTCTCCTGCAGAGGACATCGAGGTGTGTTTCACGGGACCGGGCTGGGAGGCCCGAGGCTCCTTCTCACAGGCTGACGTACATCGGCAAGTGGCCATCGTGTTCCGGACACCCCCCTATGCGGATCCCAGCCTGCAGGCCCCAGTGAGGGTCTCCATGCAGCTGCGGCGGCCCTCTGATCGGGAGCTCAGTGAGCCCATGGAATTCCAGTACCTGCCAGACACAGGTGAGCAGCAGGGGAGGGCAGCGGCCGGGCCCAGAGAGAGGGGCAGGGCTGGGCGTTGGAGACTGTAGCTGAAAGACAGAAGCCA